TCCACAGATCAGTAAAATACAAGACAATAAACAAAACAGTAACGTCAAAACGCACGACAATAAACAAAACAGTAACGTTAAAACACAAGACAATAAACAAAACAGTAACGTTAAGACACAAGACAATAAACAAAACAGTAACGTTAAGACACAAGACAATAAACAAAACAGTAACGTTAAAACACATGACAATAAACAAAACAGTAACGTTAAACAGGAACGTTAAAACACAAGACAATTAACAAAAAGGAAACATTAAAACAGAAAAGCAAAAATTATACACTAAGCTCATGGGTGATGAATTTGTTATCTGTAAATTAATGTCTCTTTTACTTCACGTCCTATTAAGTACAAAATCAGTTTTTACCAGCAACATTAACAGCTTGGTTCCTTGACAGAACATTACACACACGGAGGGAAGTTTGCGAGGAAGTTTGAAATAATAAGAGAAACGGTGATTCCCCTAATAATTCGAGAGCGTCGCTGTAATCTCCATGAACATACTGAGCCAGTCACAATTCACAGTTAGCGTGTGTAAATCTACTCGACATGCTAGTGCCACTCACAACCCTGTGTCTGTCTATATATATATATACACATGCTAGTGTGAGATAACTGTTTCTTGTTTCTGTATGTGAGCCTGATGTTGCGTTCACAATCATTTTCTTTGCATATTTCATTTAGAGACTAATAATATGCTGATAGTCAAAGAAGTTAAATTTTCAGTCCAGAAATATTATTTTAATATGCGTTATCTTCTTTTACTACAAAAAAAAGTAGAACCTTTAAATTTTCATCCTTTAGACACATGACAAACAAATTTGATCAGATTTTGAAATCGACATCAGTTGAGGAGACAGAGTGAAGGACAAAATTGTATACAGTTGCTAACTGGCTCATCTCTACCTGCTGTTTTCTCAGTCACAACATTTGCAAAGTAATTAAATAAAGTAGAATAGTTACTACTACTTTTTGTTGAGACAACATACAAAGAACCAAACATTTACCAAGACTGATTGTACACGAATGTTGAGTGGACAGAGTAGTTCCAACACACAAGTCAACTTTACTTTACTTTTACTTTTTCATCCTCTGTTGCCGTTAAGCGTCGAGGGGAGAGGCAGTTTTCTATGGTGGGCCAGCTCCGCAGCTCTTTCAGTTGTGATGTTATGTTTTCTTAGGGTTCCCAAACACAAGTCAACACAGAACCTTAATTACTGCGGACATACACACGCTTGAGTTAGTATTTTGTCCAGACTGATTAAAACAGTTCGGTTTGAGAATCTGCTCGGTCTGACGTTGTTTCCTTGGGAAAGGCACTTTACACGAATTTCCCACTTCGCTCTGTCCTTTCGGGGATGGACGTTAAACTCAGAGGTCCTACCTCTTAAATAACCTAACAGCGTTGATAGGGGCGTTACACTTGACCCCTACCATTTCATCATTTTTAAAAACTGTTTGCAAATGCTACAGGCAGGAAAAAGATGTGTCGATGAGCACTTCACAGAGCGCCGGTTCATGTCTTTGGTTTGTCTTGAGCAAAACATTCAAGCATGAGCAGACACTTTCAGCTCTAGTGACGATGTGAGTCAGTTGTGGATATACAGCCGCTGAATTCACGAAAAACAAAAGTGACAGAAGACCCACAAAAGTGGAAACAATTTACTACTGGAAAAGGTGAAAAAGGTGAAAAAGGCAAAACAGTTGAGGCACACTGTTTGTGTTAAGTACATCTAAATCTTCAACAGCAGAGGAATTGGAGCGCTATAAGTGTCACAACACAGTGGAATCAGCCGCTCGTCAGTTTTTGGGCATGGGGAGTTATTGGTAACATCTTAAAAGTTTTTATTTTTTTTTATTTGGATTTTTTAAAATACCCATTTATCTTGAGTACAAGTTGAGATATATGTGATTGGTTAAAGTGGGGGGTCACCTCGTTTCAGACATAACAGTAGCGAGAAAATGGCCACCAAAATTTGGACATTTTAATAGCTTGAGAGTCCATGGAAAATGAAAATGTACAATTTTTGTGCATATTTTAATCAACTTTTTCAGTAAAATTTACACATGAATGCGTTCTTAAATGGACGTAAAAGGTGTCGAGCCAAAAAACAAATTTTATATAAATTGCAAAACGAGTTGAAATATGTCACTCTCTTCAATTCCACGGTAGTGACAAAAGCCCGACTTCACCACGCTGCCACTCACGTCATCGTTATGTAGGAAAACAAACCATGGAAATGTGTCACTAAAGAGTCTCACGTCATTGTTGGTGCTTATCCCGTCTAAAAAACAAAATAATTCCAAAATCAATAGGTGACAATATGATGCTGGACTTAAAACGATCGCTTTTAAGCTCAAGGGGGCTATCCCGAAAAATGCTGTTCTGAGAAAATTGAAGCTAAAGTTTTTGCCCCCCGTTCAGTTTCTTTAAAAAACAAGGACAGTTTTCTCTATAACCAAACAAATATACTCATCAATGAAACCAAACTTCTCCTATAGGTAGGGCAATGCCCACTTTTGGTGTGGGTCAAGATTTCTTGAAACCTCCAAAATCCGGGTTAGCCCGCTTGTCCTTAGAAGCGACCAAATGGCAAGCAAGCGCTTTGGTATTGACCGACTGTGTAGTGTCGAGCATGATAAAGTTAAGTGAGTAACGTAAAATCACAACAGTTTATAAAACCACAATTAAACTTTATTGATATTAAAATCTGGTCCCATTCATAAGTTGTTGTATAATTGTGTTATTTAATTAAGAAGCTGCCTGAAAAGAACATTGTAGCTCCTTCACCCTTCTCCCTGTTAATCATGGAAATGAATTTTACAATAACATACAAAATGATGTTTGCTGAAATACAACCAGGAATGAGTCAACATCATCAACAGTTTTCACCACAAGGGAAGTCTGCATCAAGGTTTATAGTATTAACTAACAATGTTAAACATATACAGAAATCAACATTTTGATTACCAAAAGGTTTCCAATTTATAAAATAAACTATTTTCTTTATTTAAAATAGTTTATGTTAATAAGTACACACAAAATAGTGACAGGCACGTTAAATGTGTGTCCATCGACATGGCATGGACAACGACAGAGCATGTTAACACTTTGCAGTTACACAGCCAGCAGTACAAAATATCCAATCTGGTCACCCAGCCAAGAGAGTGACAGCAATGGACCTCTCGGGCTAGACACAGAACTGTGCTAGGTGACCGGAAGAGATCATTTTCACTATCGCATTATTGCGCCAAGGGACCACAAAGTGTTAAATGTCTGTCCGTCAACGCGGCAAGGACCCCCACACAACACGTTGGATGTTTGTCCGTCTACGCAGCATGGACCCCCACACAACACATTAAATGTCTGTCCGTCAACGCGGTATGGACCCCCACACAACACGTTAGATGTCTGTCCGCCGACGCGGCATGGACCCCCACCCAGACGACCCCTCCCCCAGGCCGTGTGTCCGGGTGGAACCATTTGTCTTCGACCCCGGCTCCGTTTGACTGTGGTCTGAGTTCCCAGCATCCTCTCTGTCGCCACCGTGACTCAGTGAACTTTTCCCAACCATCTTCTTGCTGGACAGCGCCTGTAACTCCTCGCGGAGACTGTTGATGAGCGGCTGAGGGGACGCCCCGGGCCGCACGCTGTCTGAGATCACGTCCACCACGTCCTGGTTCGGGACTTGACCGCTGCGGGGGGCGTTATGCTCTCTCACGTCAATCACGCCGGACGTTTGGTCCCGGGGACTGCTAGAGTAGCGGTCACTCTGAGCCAGTCTGGGAGACCTACCATCCCCATCCCTGTACCCTCCACCTTGCCGGGCGGTTGATGTGTTTGGGCCGCCGCTAGCCGGGATCGCTTGGAACGAATTCATCCCCTGGTACGGGTCGGAATATCTGTCCATGGTGGACGAGTCATAGAGAGGGTTCTGGAACGTTCCTCGGGAGACGTAGTTCGCGGCCGTCACAGGGTGCCCGGGGGGAGGAACAGTTCCCGACTGAGTCTCTGAAGGTGGATGGTTCGAAGCCAGGTTCCTGGAGTTGATCACAATAGGCTCACCAGGTTGGTTTGTGTAGAAGTTTGTTCGTAAGCTCGAAGGTAGAGATTCAGAAAAGGTGGAAGTTGTAATCTTCTCATGCTTCGGCGGTTTTGTCGACAAGTTTGTCTGCTGAGTACGAAAAAACATATTGCAAAGTGGGAATCAGAAGAAAAAATAAGAAATTCTGAAGAAATGTTTACCTGTGTAAAGATAGTAATCTATTAATAATAATAATAATAATAACAATAATAATAATAAAAATAATATAATAAAAAGGAAAATAATAACAATAATAATAAAAATCGTAAAATAATAATAATAGTAATAATGATAATAATAATAATAAAGCAATAATGATATGCTAGTAATAATGATGATGAGGATGATGATGATGATGATGATGATGATGACGACGATGATGATAATGATGATGATAAAAATAAAAATTAGTGGTAATAATAATAATAATAATAATAATAATACTAATAATAATAATACTAATAATATACTATTACTACTACTACTACTACTAATAATAATAAACTAGGGGCAAAGCGGAGAGCTATTTGATATTATTGTGCACAGGCCAGCATCCTTAGAAGGCGGACTGAATCTGACCTGTGGATGCGATATCGTTTTTTAAACTAATAGGTATCTCTTGTAAACACACAGAGAAATACTTCTCCCTGAGAGATGAATGAGGATTGCCTTTGTCATACCCGAGCATTGGGAAGAGAGTTATGATACACGTTCACTACATTTACCTGTGCGTTTGGAAGAGAGATAAGAACCATGTTCACCACATGTACCTGTGCGTTAGGAAGGGAGATAAGAACCATATTCACCACACGTACCTGTGCGTTAGGAAGGGAGATAAGAGCTGTGTCGTCTGCGGCTCTGTACGGGCTCCAGCTGACCAGACCGGATGCATCGTAATCCTCGTGTGTTCTCTGCACGTGCAGTGGCGTGTGCTTCTTCTCTGTGTGGGTACACGGCACGGGACAAGTGAATTAATGATACAAGATATGTAGACAGAACAGAGCATGGGACAAGTGGATTAAAGATACGCGATAAGTAGACAGAACACGGGACAAGTGAATTAACGATAGACGATATGTAGACAGAACACAGCAAGGGACAAGTGGATTAGCAAAACATCATATCTAGACAGAACACAGCATGGGACAAGTGGATTAGTGATACACGATAAGTAGACAGAACACGGGACAAGTGGATTAATGATACAAGATATGTAGACAGAACACGGGACAAGTGGATTAGTGATACACGATAAGTAGACAGAACACGGGACAAGCGGATTAACGATACAAGATATGTAGACAGAACACGGGACAAGTGGATTAACGATACAAGATATGTAGACAGAACACGGGACAAGTGGATTAACGATACAAGATATGTAGACAGAACACGGGACAAGTGGATTAGTGATACAAGATATGTAGACAGAACACGGGACAAGTGGATTAACGATACAAGATATGTAGACAGAACACGGGACAAGTGGATTAGTGATACACGATATGTAGACAGAACACGGGACAAGTGGATTAGTGATACAAGATATGTAGACAGAACACAGCAAGGGACAAATAGATTAGCAGTACATCATAATATTAAATTATGCAGCACCTGATTCCACCGTGTCGGAGCACATTGACTCATTACGGCTGCTTCTCTGATCTCGTAGGATTTCCCTCCACAATCATTACTCTCTGACAATAGCTGGTTCACTTTTGTCTGTCCACGTTTAAAAAAAATTCTAGCTCATTTATTAATTTACCTGCGCCCACGAAAATTTGCATGGCACTTCTGCAGGCCAGCAATCACACAAAAATTATTTTTTAAAAATCTTGTTCCTGTAATAAAAAAGTTCTTCTCTTTGAGCCCTTTATTAAAAACCGCTCTTTGGATGCATACACAGGATCACTAAAATAATTAATAATTTTCAGTGTAAGCTTGTAAACTTCATTCCCCATCTGTCTAGACGTCTCCACGTGCTCCACATGAGTCTTGAAGATTGCCCACCCCGTCTCTTGAATCATGTTTCTCCAGGTGAACTGAACGTTAAAGTGTAGTGTTGAGGAAAATATGTCAACTTAAAATTTTTTTAGCTGTAGGCTGTAAATCCCTTATCATTTTTTTGACCCGCTTTTGGCTTACATCAAAGAAAATGTGTCAGAACCTTAGTTTGCAGTGACCTTTATGAAAAGGCTTTTAAATTCTGTTGGTCATTGAACTTTTAGATCCATATGTAGAGATCTGAGAAGATTAAACAGAACGATTTCATTTTATCTTGCTTTAACCATGGTCAGACGAAAGTGAACAAGCTATAACCATCATAACTCTCTGACTAACTATCACTAACTATCATAACTCCCTAACTAACCATCATAACTTTCTGACTATCACTAACCATTATAACTTTCTAACCAACTACCAGTAACTATCATAACTCACTGACTAACTATCACTAACTATCATAACTCCCTAACTAACCATCATAACTCTCTGACCAACTACCGCTAAGCAACATAACAATCTGGTAAACTATCACTAACCATCATAACTCCCTAACTAACTATCATTAACCATCATAACCCCCTCACGAACCATCATAACTCTCTGACTTACCTGCAATCTCTGTTTCCACACTCGGTTGTCTCGACAGCTGTTTTTCTTTCCTAAAGAAAGAGAAGAGAAAAGAAATTTCAATATACTAGTGAATGCTACTGTATTATATACTATCAAATAGTGTATTATATTGCACGGCATCCTTTTGTACATTGTGGTGTGATGTGGTGTGGTGTAGTGTGGTGTAATGATGTGAGGGGCGTGTGGTGTGGTGTGGTGTGGTGTGGTGTGATGTGGTGTGGTGTGATGTGGTGTGGTGTAGAGTGGTGTAGTGATGTGAGGTGCGGTGTGGCGTGGTGTGATGTGGTGTGATGTGGTGTGGTGTACAGTGGTGTAGTGATGTGAGGGGCAGTGTGGTGTGGTGTATTTGGGTGGGGTGTTTTGTGGTGTGGTGTGGTGTGGTGTGGTGTAGTGATGTGAGGGGCAGTGTGGTGTGGTGTAGTTGGGTGGGGTGTTTTTTGGTGTGGTGTGGTGTGGTGTGGTGTGGTGTGGTGTGATGTGGTGTGGGGTAGTGTGGTGTGGTGTGATGTGTGGTGAGGTGTGGTGTGGTGTAGTAGTATGGAGTGTGGTGTGGTGTAGTTGGGTGGGGTGTTTTGTGGTGTGGTGTGGTGTGGTGTGATGTGGTGTGTGGTGTGGTGTGGTGTGTGGTGTGGTGTGGTGTAGTGTTGTGTGGTGTGGTGTGGTGTGGTGTGGTGTGGTGTAGAGTGGTGTAGTGATGTGAGGGGCAGTGTGGTGTGGTGTAGTTGGGTGGGGTGTTTTTTGGTGTGGTGTGGTGTGGTGTGGTGTGGTGTGGTGTGGTGTGGTGTGATGTGGTGTGGGGTAGTGTGGTGTGGTGTGATGTGTGGTGAGGTGTGGTGTGGTGTAGTAGTATGGAGTGTGGTGTGGTGTAGTTGGGTGGGGTGTTTTGTGGTGTGGTGTGGTGTGATGTGGTGTGGTGTGGTGTG